AGGACTGGGTCCCCCCAGGAGGAGAGGGCAGGTGACTTAGAATGCTTCTCCCCAAGGACAGGACCTGGCAAGGGGCAGGAATGAGGAATAATGGGGGCCCCAGACTCGTTTTGGAGCTTCTTCCCATCTCCCTGCCCACTTTCATCCAACTCACCACCACTGGCACCAACTCGCTTCCCTCCCCATCCCATCGGGGGTTCTGCTCCCCTAGGCCCTTAATACTACAGGGTGGGTGGACTATGGTGCCGGCACCTCCTTTTCGTCCCACGAAGGCCCAGGTGTCCCTCCAGCCCAGAGCAGGGCCGGCCTGGCTGCCTAAGCTCCTCAGTAGAGCCTTGGCTGTGTCCTTGAGATGGAAGGAGCCCTCGTCCTGGGAGACCAGAGAAGGCGGTCAGCCTGAACAGCACAGTTCCGGGAGACCTGGCCTCATGGAGCACCAACTAAGTGTCAAGCACCATGTCAGATCTTTTCCTCAAATTAGCTTGTTAAATTATCACGGCAACCCTCTGGGAATACTATCATTCCACAGGTAAGAAAACTGAAGGCTTAGGGAGAAATCTGAGAATCATCCGAAGTCACCGGGCTAATAAATCCTTACCATAATCCCACACAGTATGCACCTCTGTCCCCTGCTCTCTCTCTCTCTCTGCCCTCTTCCCCACGCTTTTCTCCTCCCTTATTCTGCTCTAGCTCCCCTGGCATGCTTGCCAGTCTTCAAGTTTGCCAAGTACCTTCCCACTTCAGGGCCTTTACCCGTGCCCTTCTTTCTATTCAGAATGCTCTTCCTCCAGATATTTACATGGCTCGCTCCACACTTCCTCCAGCATTCTACTCACATGCCATTTCCTTACCGAGGCCTTCCCTTTCTAAAATACACCCCCCATCACTCTGTCTCCCTTTCTTTATTTTCTTCCTCATACAAGTTATCATTTCCTGACATTAAACATTTATTTGGCTGCTCTTCTTTAAAAAAATCTTGCTCTGCTGGAGCAAACTCCTTAAGGGCAGGGACTCTGTCTTGCTTCTCATTGTAGCCCCCGTACCCACAGCAGTGCCTGGCACATGGTATGTGCTCAGTCACTACATGCTCAATTAGTAAAAATAACAAGGCTAGTACCGGGACCTGCGTTACCTTCCTCCAGAGTCTCTTCTCAGTGTGCCACATAAGGGGCAGAGAACACAGGGCCGTGGGCAGGGTTGGAGCTGGGTCTGAGGGGATGGGGCCACAGGAGCCACTGACCTTGACGGTGCAGATGAGCACTCTGCCGGGTGCCACCATGTTGAGGAACAGAACCATGGCCTCATCCTCATGAGGTGAGTACGTGTCAAACACACGCTTTGCCATCACATGGCCCTGGCAAAGCACATACCACTGAGTATGTGTCGCCAGCAGGGAGGACTCAGCTTTGGCCCTCCAGGTCCCCTACCCCTAGAACCTCACCGTGGCCTGGTTGAGGACGATGACGTGGATACCCCGGCCCTGCTCCCGGGCCTCATCCTCCAGTACCTACAAGGTGGCAGAGACAAAGTCCAACTCTTCACTCTGGCATTCCAGGTCTCTCTGTCTTATTGGCACTTAAGAAAAACAACAACTGCATGAAATGAAACCTCTCTTCCTGCCTGTCTATGCCTCTGACACAATTCTCTTCCAACCCAGCTTGAAGGCCACCTCTTCCAGGAAGCCTCCATCGCACCGCACCAAAAGAGCTCACATCTCTCTACGACCTTCCCCTCCATGGCTTTCACGGCTCGTAGAGCACTTGACTGTCTCTGCCTCATGCTGGAGACATCACGCTCTATTCGATTAATCCCTCTAAGTAGGGCCAGATCTGGTGACTTTCAGGTCCCAGTGCCTGGGACAAGGCTAAGACTAATGAAGGGACCAGGAAGTAATTATGACATAAATCACAATGAACTAACTACCTACTAATACTAATAGTGACTCCTGATAAAATCCCACTACATGTAACACACTTCATGTACTTTTCATTTAATCCTCACAAGTAGAAATCATGATTAGTCCCAGGTTACAGATGAGGAACTGAGGCCTCCAAAGCCACCCACGTAGAAATTGGCAGAGGGACGGTTCCTACTTGGGCAGTGGGTCCCAGGGCCAGTGGACCACACCCTGAATAGAAAGGAGTGTACACCAGACACCAGCCCACTCACCGTAGTGCCATCCACGGCCACATATACTTTGCTGCGGCTTGAATAGACCTCCACATCCAGGACCCTTCGGGGTCCGCTGCCTCTGCGCCGTGGGGGCTCCAATCGGCCCAGGGCCTCATCTGTGCGGACACCACAGGTCATGGAGGGAGTCTCATCCTCTGGGATCTGCCTGCTGTTTCAGCCGTGAGACCCCAGGGAACCCCGCCTGACACACACACCAATCCCACCCTCAGCCTCGCCCCACCATAGTCTTGCTCCGGCTCCGGGTCTTCATTGGCCTCCCTGATTGCTCGCCGTGTGTCCAGGATCAACTTGATGTTGACAATGACAGTCACCAGTAGGAAAAGCACAGCCCCTGTCTGAGGGGAGGAGTGGGGATGACTAAAGAGGGATACTCCCTGCAGATCTTTTTTTTTTTTAAATAAATTATTATTTTTAAAAAATATATATCTTTATTGATTTCAGAGAGGAAGGGAGAGGGAATGAGCGATAGAAACATCAATGATGAGAGAGAATCATTGATTGGCTGCCTCCTGCACGTCCCCTACAGGGGATCAAGCCCGCAACCTGGGCATGTGCCCTTGCCCAGCATCGAACCTGGGACCCTTCAGTCTGCAGGCCGACGCTCTATCCATTGAGCCAAACCAGCTAGGGCCTCCCTGCAGATCTTTGAAGGTCTTCCTGAAAGGAGGGCCCTGGCGGCAGGGATGGCACAGGGAGAACCAGGGGTCTTTCTCTCCTCCTGTTGGGCCAGGGTCAACTCTACTCTTCCAACCAGGGTCCAGTGTCATGTCCACCTTCCTCAGGGACACCCCTGACCTTCCCTTCTTCCCTACCCAGAGCTCCTGTAGTTTTCAATGTGAGGCTTTCATTTCCTCGGTTCCCTCCACAATCAGTTCCGAGAGATGGAGCCAGTCCCAGGGAACCAGCTGAGCATCCGAAGACCTGGGTCCTAGCTCTGAGGGCCTGACTGGTGTGGGCTCCTGGGCAAAGCCTTTCGGCAGACTTCACGCTTCTGTCGGGAGCCTAGAAGGCGTTTCTGGACCCACCCCAGTACCTACAGGGACATGGCACAGAGAGCTTTCCCCACGAGGAACCTGTCCCCCCCACACACCCCCACTTCCTAGGGTGAGGGCAGCCAAGAAGGGCTCCAGTGCTCACAGCCCAGGCTGGGGAAGGCGGGGAGGAGCCCCGTGAGGTCTGGGACGTCTCTATACCTGACAGCATCTCCGCAAGGCCCGCTGGTTGGTCAGCTTATACTTCCAGGTGAGATACCAGCTCCTCTTCTTGCGCGCCCCAAAGGGCTTGGCGAGGGGGCTGGGCTTCCAGTCGTCCATGCCGGGGAGGAGGTCAGCACCGTCCCGAGCCCATGCCTTGGCAAACCGAGGGGACCGACCGGCGGATCACCGGGAGGAAGGTGCTCTTCCCGGAGTCCGGGCCTCGGGGGTCGGGGAGGGCCTCCCAGGAGCTCTGCCCCGCCGGCACCAATACCATGTGCGACCCGGGAAAGTGGCACAACTTTTCCAGGAAAAACCCTTCCGCGGGGTCAGGTCACCTGGAGACTCCCCGGGGACAGGGGGCTGGGGGGCTGCCCAGGGACCCAGAGGAACAGGGCGAACAATCGGCTTTCAGGGCTCATCGGCCGCCACCAGGACCAAGCCCCGGGTCTTCCCCGTCCTGGGGGGCGAGGGCGGCGGCTTCCCCGGCCCGTCCTCCACCCCCTGCCACCCTGGTGA